GGCTGCCACACGTCCCTGGGCACACTGTGCCAGGGCTTCCCCACCCTCCCAGGGAAGAATTTCTTCCCAATATCCCATCTAAATCTCCTCTCTTTCAGCTTAGAGCTAATTCCCCTTGTTCTGCCACTTGCTTGCCTTTGCAAAACATCCAGCCTTCCTGGAGAGCTTCTCCTTTTACAGCTTTTGGGCCAGTTGTGCAGCCCCAGCAGTGCTGATGGGACTGTTCCAGTTTGAAGTGACATTTTGTGGAGCTGAATTCATGTTTTTAAGGCTGCTGCTGGTGCAGCTGCTCTCAGGTATTACCTCTCAGCTGTGCAGAGGTTAAGTGTACATTAACAACCACTTTCCTTGGGCGCTCGCTCCAGACTCACCTCTGAAGGAGTTTTTAAAAGAACTGGCTTTTCTGCAAGGTGACCTTTTCAGCTGTGAAATTACCGAAGCAGCAGAGCTCTCATCACACTTGCTTCTAAGACTCATTCTTTTTGCTTGTAAAATAACCCAAGTAACTCTTCGCTTTGTGTCTTACACCATTGCAAGGGGCCTGTGGCTCCCTGGGGCTGGCTGTGGGCTGTCAGCTGATGGATCTGCACGAGCAGTCGGTGTCTGCCCTGCGCCTGGACGTGCCCCGGGCACGCGGCACCGCCAGAGCTCGGGCTGTGGGGCAGCTGAGTCCCCAGAGCTCGTGGTTATTGCCCATGGTTTATTGGTGCTAACTCACGAGGCTGTGGTGTTCCGTGTTTCTTTTCCCCTGCAGGAAATCCATAGTGAAACAGCAAACTCTCACTGCTGTGCAATTGCAATCTGCTTTACCTTGGGCTCACTTTTGGGCTGTTCATTTTGTACCTCTGGGAAGTTTCCATCTGACACAGCGTCAGTGCTGCTCCGAGAGGCACAGACGATGCTCCCAACATCCTTTACCTAGTCGTGGGGCTCGTTTTCTTTTTTCTTTATTCCATGAAATGAGGCACAGATCCACAAGCCTTTTGGGGGACCTGATCTTGTGGAATATCGACCCTCAGCCAGCTCTGTGCCCCAGTGGCCACAGAACCAGAAGGGAATCTCAGCTCTCCTACATCATCTTTTTTTCACCCCAGCTACCATCAGCTACTCCCACTCCTCCACCTTCCCTTGCAGCCTGGCCCTGCTGAGATCTCCAGGGAGCCAGTTTCCCTGGCTGCCATGGATCTCCTGCCTTCACCCCTACCCTGAAGGTGGCTCTTGCTCTGAGTCCAGCCAGCTGCAATCCTGCAATTGTTATCCCAGAGCTCTGCAGTGCAGCCCTGCCCCTCCCTCCCAAGGGCTCTGAGCACAGCCCTGTGCCTAGTGTGGATTTTACCTGGGCATTTCACCCTCCACAGAGCCTCAGAAGCTCTGTGTGAGCTTGTGTGACTTGTGGGTGTGCAAGAAATGTCTTTATTAGGCACTAGAGCAAAGAGACAGCAGAGACATGGCAGGGCAGTGCAGGAGGGGTGGCTGCTGTGGATCCTGTCCCTGCAGGTGACCACTGCTGGGAGTTGAGCAGATGTGCAGGGCTCTGCTCCCCCACGCTGGAGTGGGGATGCTTTTTGCAGAATCATGGTTTGGTTTGACAGTGACCTTACTCACCCTCCTGTCCCACCCCCTCACACTACCCCAGGCTGCTCCAGCCCCAGTGTCCAGCCTGGCCTTGGACACTGCCAGGGATCCAGGGGCAGCCACAGCTGCTCTGGGCACCTGTGCCAGGGCCTGCCCACCCTGCCAGGGAAGGATTCCCAGTTCCCAATATCCCATCCCTTGCCAAGGCACCCTTTGCTCCCCGTCCCTTTGGAGCAGGGCTGGGCTCTGCTCTTCCCCATTATCCCTTGCTGCAGCTCTGGAGGTAATTAACACTTCTTCAGAGCATGGAGGCTTCTCAAAGTGTTCACCATCTGGTCTCACTTACCACATTAATCATAGTCCAAGGAACAAGCTAGTTTTGAGTTGAGGTTTCCCGAGTAACTGGATTTCTCTGTTTTAGATGCTATTATTGATAAGTCTGAAGTTTTGTAAGATACCTTATGTTCCTGTCATTTCTTCAATGGAAGAAAGCAAATAAAGATAGTTCAAACCCCTCAAATCTGAAAACAAAACTTGGACTCTTTTGATTTTGCAGCAAAGCTTGGGAACAGAGGATGCTGCATTTCTTACAGTATTACAATTTAAACTTTCATGACCCAAACTGAAAACATACCTCTGGCAATATTTTAATATTGATAGGCAAAATTGTGATTCATCAACATCAAACTGTTTAATTCATTAGCCAACAACTTCTAGGCAGTGTGGGAATACATTTAAAAGAGAATGAGATGAGACCACATATTAATTATGCAGTCACTGCACAAATCGATAATTATATGTCACAAAGAGATCCCTATGTATTAACACTTTAGAACCTGCTTCCTGCCCTGATTTGTCAGTTCTTTTGAGCTACATGGATATGATGTATTTTTAAATCAAAAATGGTAGGCAGAACCAAACATGAAAGACTGACGTAACTAGCTCATGGTTCTGGTGGAGGTGAAGTTTGAAATTCTCTGATCCCCATATGTGTGTGATTCTCATGCATATTTGTTGGTAAGAATTTCCATAAACAGTTTTGTGACATAAAATTATTTGATTGCCTTGAGTAACTTTGGCCCTGACCCCATGGCCATGTTAATTCTTGTGTCTCTCCTTGGGGCAGTCAGATGGAGCAGCAGCAGCTCTGGGGTGTGAAGAGAGAGCTGGGCTGGGCTGGACTGGGCTGGGGCTCAGGCTCAGGCTCAGGCTCAGGCTCAGGCTCAGGCTCAGGCTCAGGCAGTGTTTCTCTGCACATTGCACAAGGAAAGCTTCAGCAGTGGCAGGAGCAGAGAGGTGTCTGCAGAGCCTGTCCCAGCCAGGTACTGCCCAGAGTGATGGAATGGTTGGGTTGGAAGGGACCTTAAAGCTCTTCTCCTTCCACCTCTCTGCCAGGGCAGGGACACCTTCCACCACCCCAGGGTGCTCCAGCCTGGCCCTGGGCACTCCTCTACCAGGGCAGGGACACCTTCCACCCCAGGGTGCTCCAGCCTGGCCCTGGGCACTGCCAGGGATCCAGGGGCAGCCCCAGCTGCTCTGGGCACCTGTGCCAGGGCCCGCCCACCCTGCCAGGGAAGGATTTCTTTCCAGTATCCCATCCATCCTGCCCTCCTGTCAGCCTTGTCCTGAGATGGAGCAGCAGCAGCTCTGGGGTGTGAAGAGAGAGCTGGGCTGGGCTGGGCTGGGCTGGGCTGGGGCTCAGGCTCAGGCTCAGGCTCAGGCTCAGGCTCAGGCTCAGGCTCAGGCAGTGTTTCTCTGCACATTGCACAAGGAAAGCTTCAGCAGTGGCAGGAGCAGAGAGGTGTCTGCAGAGCCTGTCCCAGCCAGGTACTGCCCAGAGTGATGGAATGGTTGGGTTGGAAGGGACCTTAAAGCTCTTCTCCTTCCACCTCTCTGCCAGGGCAGGGACACCTTCCACCACCCCAGGGTGCTCCAGCCTGGCCCTGGGCACTGCCAGGGATCCAGGGGCAGCCCCAGCTGCTCTGGGCATCTGTGCCAGGGCCTGCCCACCCTGCCAGGGAAGGATTTCTTTCCAGTATCCCATCCATCCTGCCCTCCTGTCAGCCTTGTCCTGCTGGATGCCTCCCTGCCCAGGGTGGCTGCTGGCTGCAGCACACCCAGCTGTGCTTGCCTTGCTCTGGGCAGAGCAGAGCAGCCCCGTGGGCACACAGGGAATGTGCCAGGGAATGGGAACTCCACGTGTTTTCCATCAAGCCCACTGCTTCCAAGTGCCAGCGCTCAGGGGAGGGAGATTCCAGCAGCCTGAGCATGCTGCTGGGATTACCCAGGGAGAAACCCACAGACCTGCTCACTGTGACCTGAAGCAGAGACCTGTTTTCCTGGGAAGGAGCCACGTATGACCAAACATCTTGGAATGGTGGGGAAATGCTGTCTGTCCCTAAGACAGAAGCTGTAGATTTGCCTTTGCCATGCTGCTGATGTTTAATGTTTAATTGCTCTGCAATGTGGCAAAGTATGAAAAAAATCTAAATTTGTCCTGGAGCTATGAAAGCTGCGGGAAGCTCTCAGAGCTGGAGCTGGAAGCCAGAAGGAGCCATGGGAGAGCCTGAGCTAAGGCAGCCTCTTCCCAGGGTGCAGGACACAGAGCTGGGCTGGAGGACTGCAGCAGAGCAGGAGCTTTGGGAGCAGAGCCCTTCCTAGGCTGGGGGGCAGAGCAGGACCAGAGCCCTCAGCCTGCCCAGAGCCCTGGAGCAGAACCGAGCCCTGCATGGCCCACACGGCCCTCAGCTTAGCCTGGCTCAGCTCAGCCCAGCTCAGTTCAGTTCAGCTCAGCTCAGCTCAGCTCAGCTCAGCTCAGCTCAGCTCAGCTCAGCTCAGCTCAGCTCAGCTCAGCTCAGCTCAGCTCAGCTCAGCTCAGCTCAGCTCAGCTCAGCTCAGCTCAGCTCAGCTCAGCTCAGCTCAGCTCAGCTCAGCTCAGCTCAGCTCAGCTCAGCTCAGCTCAGCTCAGCTCAGCTCAGCTCAGCTCAGCTCAGCTCAGCTCAGCTCAGCTCAGCTCAGCTCAGCTCAGCTCAGCTCAGCTCAGCTCAGCTCAGCTCAGCTCAGCTCAGCTCAGCTCAGCTCAGCTCAGCTCAGCTCAGCTCAGCTCAGCTCAGCTCAGCTCAGCTCAGCTCAGCTCAGCTCAGCCCAGCCCAGCCCAGCTCAGCCCAGCCCAGCTCAGCTCAGCCCAGCTCAGTCCAGCTTAACCCGGCTCAGCTCAACTCAGCTCAGCTCAGCTCAGCCCAGCCCAGCCCAGCTCATTTCAGCCCAGCCCAGCCCAGCCCAGCCCAGCTCAGCTCAGCTCAGCCCAGCCCAGCCCAGCTCAGCTCAGCTCAGCTCAGCTCAGACCAGCTCAGCTCAGCTCAGCTCAGCTCAGCTCAGCTCAGCTTGGCTCGGCTCAGCTCAGCTCAGTTCAGCTCAACCGAGCTTGCCAGCCTGAGAGCAGCTCCAGCCCAGTCGTTTTCAGACCAAGGATCTCCAGTTCCACCCTGCCTTGCCTGTGACATATTGGTTTAGGTGAGATTTCAGTCGGAGCCAAATGTTATACACATTTGGCTGGAGCAGTTTTTTCAAGCATGTTTTCCTAAATTAGGGTTGATGGTGATAATGCTCCTACTTCTTGGCTCTTGCCTACTACTGGCTGAGATTTCATCTGCTAAGAATCATGTTTCTAAAAACTCACAATCTGCTTTTGCAGCTACTTCACATGGTATGTGAAAACACTTTTTAACAACACTGCAGTCAGAAGCTTTGCTATTTCCATGGTGTAATTGAGTTTGCATGTTAAATAATGGTGATTCGTCTCCTTGGCAAAGAGGTGCTATTTTATTAAACAGGTTCTTCTTCTTCATTATTGTGGAATTGTTTCTGTGGGTGGGGCAAATTATGATGGCCCTAACCTGAAATTCTTTGGCAAATGGGCTGGGCACTGCCCAGGGAACAGCTGTGAATGCAAATATGAAAAATCTGCATTTCTGTTCAGGTATGAGGGTGTCTTTACCAGTGAGGGCAGTTCGTGGTGAAATCAGAAATGGTAACAGCTGATTACAAAGTTGTGGCTCCAGGACAGCCCGTGAGCCAGCACCAGTGCTGTGCTGGAAAGGTAAGTGATGGGTGAGTTCACCAGATCAGAGACGAGAGTCTGTCTGCAATAGACCCCAGAAACACATGTTCCAAAAGGCACCTGAATGCTCAGCAAAGACATTTTTATCTCACCAGGGTGTGATAAAGCCCACCATGAGGGTGGCCCAAAGAAAAGGAGTGAATGCAGAGGAAGAACCCTGTGACAGACACCTCTGCCTCCTGCCCCCAGGCTGATGGTCACAGCCTGGAGAAGCTTTTGCTGTGACAACCCAGGCAGAGCAATCATAATATATTTTGCTTGGAAAGGATAAAACCAAATCAGCTCATCTGTAACTTGCTGGCAGCAGGGAGGAAACTGCCTGGTACTCAGCCTGTGATTCTCCAGATTATGTGTAGATGTTTTGTGTAATTTTAGATATCCTAGCAATTGGCAGTGATTCATACCAGCTCTGCTGCTGCTTTCCTCCCCATCAAAACAGCTCCCCAGCAGTTTGTGCCCCTGGCATTACATCAGCACATCCTCATCACGAGCTGGGGGACCTGGCTCTGCCCAGGGGGTCAACTCAGAGAAACTCTGCCTTGCTGGGGCTAGAGGAGAAGGAAGACTCAAAATCTGGGGAGAAGGACTCCACGTGCTCCTGCATGCTGCAAGGTCCAAAGCAGATTAGTCTTTATCCACTCAGCATCCTCTGCAGGAGGCCAGAGAGAAACAATGGATGGTGCTGGCAATGGTTTTGTGAGCTTGGAGGCAAGGCTGAGCTGGCTCTAGGCTGGCCACGGCTCAGGAGATGGAGCTGAGGAATGAGACACAGAAGGGTGGGCACAGTTCATTACATGAAGCAAAATATCTGGTGTTCTGACACAGGGAAGGGGCCGAGGTGACAGCCCTGTGTTAATGGGTGCAATTGAGCTCCCTGACCTTAGGTCACAGCTGGACTGATTTCTCCTGTGCAGACATTGTGTGATTTGTCACTTTGGTGATGTTTTCCCTTTCCTTTGGCTGGTTTTCACAGCTGTTTGTGGGGGCAGAGGTCCCCTGGGGCAGCGAGGTGTCCCCAGCAGCCCAGCTGTGCTGGGGCTGCACAGGAGGCTCACCAGGCTCTGGGGGAGGCTGCAGGCACTGGGGGAGCACCAGCGTGTCCCTGGGCAGGGGGGCTCCCTCCTGACCCCACAGCAGCCCCTGCTGCTGGCCAGGGCTGGGCCCCTGCCATGCTGAGAGGTCTGGGCTGATCCCTGGAAAGCAGGAGTGACAGGAGGATGCAGCTGGCTCGCTGGGGCTGGGATCTGCAGCTGTTACTGCTCTGGTGGCTGAGCCTGCTTCTCCCAGCTGTGATACACAAATTGTTCAAGTAAAGCAGCATCTCAGTTCAGAATCTTTTGGTATAAAATCATAGTAACTCAATTGTTCAACTCCTAGAGATGCACACAAAAGCAAGAATGCAGCATGTGGGGTGCTGGAAGGACACAGACTCTGCTGTGACTGGGTGACAGCAGAAGACACCTGCTATAAAGGCCATAAAATTAAGTAACACATGGGATAAGGCCCAGATTTGCAGGGGGTGCCCTGACTGGGGAAACAGGATCCTTTCAATCATTTTCCTCTCCTTTGGGAAATCTAAAGTTCTATGTTTAAACCCTGTCTTATTCCAGCTGTCATTTGCATAAAACCTAACCACTAGTGTCTATTTTTAGTGATGTTGGGATGCTCATGGTGGAGGGGAGGTGGAGGCAGTCTGACAGCTCGGGCTGAGCAGGGATCCCATCGCAGATGAGGTGTTTGGGTTTCCCACACAGCCAAACCTTCACCTTCCTCCAGAGAGAATGCTTCTCCACTCATCTTCTGCAGGGAGAAGGAATTGTTCAGAGCTGTGGTGTGAGGCTTCATTCTCCATCTTGGGGTGACAGCGCTGGGTTTCTGCTGCCTTTAAAGTTGTCTACCCAGATTTACATGCAGCAGTGAGATGTTGTTCCAGAATATTGTTTGCTTCAAGTGAAGACAAGCTGCTCAGGGTGAGCCAGCAGCACAATTTCCCTGCAGGTGCTTGAGCACAGTTTTGACAGGAGGCGTTTGGGCTCCGGGTGAGGTGATTTTGGGGTGCAGGTGCTTTTTCATGGGTATATTCTGCTGGTGTTCTGTTTGGCTGAATGGGAGGCAGGATGTGAAGAACCAAGCAGGGACATGTGCTGTTGTGTCCTCCCAAACTGTGGGGTCAGGACACCCCAGCTGGCAGAGGAACACGGTGGTACATGACAGGTTAAACATTCCAAACTAAGGCTTCCATTATTTTCCTTTGGTTTTGGAAAGCGACAAGTAAGTCCCAGGGACACACTGAAAACCTGCTTGGAGCCAAGAAAATGTTTACAAATCCCAGTGCAACAACCAAATCGATAAATCCATAGATCCTGCTCTGGCTTATCAGAGTCAAAAGAGCCACAAATAGTTGGTGGTTGGTGGAGATGTTTGTGGAGAAGATGGGATTTTTTTTGTTTATTTGTTTTCTTATTTTTTCTCTCAGGATTTTATTTCACTGCATGGGGAAGCTATTTATTTAAGAAGAAATGAAAACTCGACTAAATGTATTTTGACAAGAGTAGGTTGCTACAGAATTGCTTCTGTGAGCACTGAGGTGTTGGTATAACCTGGAAAACAAAACCCAGGACTTGTGAATGACAGGGCAGGTGGGATTGCATTGCAGATAGTGGCAGAGAGGTCTGGAGAACTCCTGGGGATGCTGCCACGGCTGCTTTGCACCGTGCTGCATGGCAGTGTGGATGTTTCTGGGGGCTGCAGAGCACAGCTCAGGGTGTTGGGGGAGGGATGAGTCTCTGAGGCTGCAGGGATGCAGGGGGTCAGGTGTGACCCCTTGCCAGCTCTCCTCCCTGCCCTCTGCACACACCCAGTGCCAGGAGGGGTTTGCAGCTCCACGTGACTCCTTTTTCCCTTTGCCAGGCGTTTCAGCCCAGCCTGAGAACCAGATCCTCCCAATACACTGGATTTCTTGTTTGCTGGGCTGACTGTGGGCCCAGCCGGGGCTGGTGTGCCAGGAGGAGCCAGACAGGAGCTGCAGCAGCTGTGCAACACCTGGAGTGCTGCTGGCTGCCCGGACAGCAGGGAGGGCAGAGCTGCACTGTTGCAGCCCCTGTGCAGCTCCCGTGCTCCTGCTGGCTGTGCAGAGCTGGCACTGCTGCAGCTCCTGTGCAGCTCCTGTGCAGCTCCTGTGCTCCTGCTGGCTGTGCAGAGCTGGCACTGCTGCAGCTCCTGTGCAGCTCCTGTGCAGCTCCTGTGCAGCTCCTGCTGGGTGTGCAGAGCTGCACTGCTGCAGCTCCTGTGCAGCTCCTGCTGGGCGTGCAGAGCTGGCACTGGCAGAGCCCCCTGAGCATGTCCCTGAGCTCTGTCTCTGCATGTCTGCTACCCCAGAGAGGCTGCCCCAGCAGGTGTTTTCATGCCAAATGCCACCATGCCACTTGCTGAGCACCACGGGCACAGCCCCAAGCACTCCTCAGAGACAGGGGGCTGCATCTCACCACGCCTGGCACCGGGGCCATCCCAAACACCTCCTCACTCACTCCTCAGGATTCTTGTGCCCCACCCATGGGCCCCCTGCTCACCTCGCTTTGCTCAGGACCAGGTCATTTGTGTCCTGGTGCGAGGTGAGTGGTGGTGTGGGTGCAGGTGCCTGAGCTGTGAGCAAACCTGCTCAGCTGGCAGCACGCTGAGCCCCCGGGTGTGGGTCAGCCCTGCCCCTGCCCGGGGGTCTGAGGCAGCTGCTGCACCAGGAAAGGGCCCCTGGAGCCACCAGGGCACGGTGAAATCACAAATGGTAACAGCTGATTACAAAGTTGTGGCTCCAGGACAGCCCGTGAGCCAGCACCAGTGCTGTGCTGGAAAGGTAAGTGATGAACAACTGGGCACTCCAGTCTGGATAAATGACTAATTATAATTTCTAGATTTTATTATCAACAGTAAACTCTTAAATACCCACCACAGACAAGTGAAGCTCTGTGCCTTCCTTGTGTTTGATGTGCTAAGCATAAATATTCAGCTCAGTCTCTCAAGAAAACATGAGGTTTTACACAAGAACAACTCTCCCAGATGAGCAGGATTTATAGCTCCAAAATGGTCTGGTTTCATCATTTGTGAAAGCTTTAACCTTTCAAGCATTTCCAAACCTATTTTAGCATGCAGGGAGTAGTGATGCAGAGACATTAACATTAAAACTTTGTGTGTCTCCAGTGAATATTCTTACAACAAGGAGCATAACATATCTTTTTGTTTATTTCCTTTTCTAATATTTCAATGCTGTTCGCTTCCATGAAGGAAAAAAAAAGAATAGTCTTATAAAATTAACAAATATTGCAAAGCTTTAGATACCAATTAAAATGAGTAATTTAATGTGTAGATATCAGTGCGTGACAACTCTGCACCTTGCCTGCCTGTTCACCAGCTCGTGCTGGAAACTTGAGACAGAGTTGCTGAAGCATTTCACACTGCCTTGAAGGGCTTTTTAATGGATTTTCAGATTTCTTTTCAGTCTTCAGATGATCCTGTTAATGCCTGGGAAAACCAACCAACCAGCCAAGCTAAAGGAAGCAAGAGCAGATGGAATAAATCATGGCATCCTAAACTCGGTGTCACATGCATAGGTCAAGGCTTTATCTTGGTTTCCATCTCACAGTCTGCAGACATCCCAAATACTGAGCTCGCCCCTCGAGTGCTCCCTGTCTGTGAGGCCTTGGGCTGTGGAGCATCTGCCAGCTCCACAAGGGAGCATGGGAGGATTGCCTCCTCCTGAGCTGCCACTGCCCCTGGGTTGTCCCTGCCCCATGGCTGCCACTGCCCTGGGCTGTCACTGCCCCATGGCTGTCACTGCCCTGAGCTGTCGTCCCTGCCCCTGAACTGTCACTGCTCCTGGGCTGTCACTGTCCTGGGCTGTCCCTGCCCCAAGCTCTCACTGTCCCTGGGCTGTCACTGCCCCTGAACTGTCACTGCCCCTGAGCTGTCACTGCCCATGGCTGCCACTGCCCCTGGGTTGTCCCTGCCCCATGGCTGTCCCTGCCCCATGGCTGTCACTGCCCCTGAGCTCTCACTGCCCCATGGCTGTCCCTGCCCTCTAGTGCAGGGCATGCACAGAGCTGCCTCCAGCCTGACTTGCATGTCCCAGCCTGGGGCTCAGTGCCTGGGAAGGGTCGCTGCTCTGGGCCTGCCCTGGGCACCTGTCCCATGTGGGAAGGTGGCAGGGCAGGAGGAGATACACCAGAGCCAAGGGAGCCCCAGGTCTGGGGAAAGAAGGGGGCTAAAATTGGTGGGAAGGCTGACATTTCCCTGAAGATCCTTTGGTTTGCACAGCTGGCTCGAGGATGCACACATTGTCACATCTTTCAGGTGGGAGCTCAGAATGTGACCCTGGCTCCTGCCTTGAGCTGATGAGGTCTTGCTCAGGATTTCTGCATGCAAAGCCTTGAAAACAGAACTGGAGAAACATCTCTCGGCATATGTAAGTAACTATAAAGCCTGTCTTCAACAAAGAGGCCCCTCCCAAAGTCCTGTCCCTGGTGCTGAGGTGACCATCTCAGTCCTGCCTTCAGGCTGCCAGAAGCTCTGGGGATGAGTAGCAGAG